GGAGGTGCACTTGGTCTGAAGCTAAAATTTGGGTGAGAGCTCTGATCGGACGTTGGGGCCCCAGGATAAAAGTCTTTGCGAGGTTGGGCGTATGGGTGAGGATCAGTACGCCGTTTTTGTTCTAAATTTTGAATTTTCAAAGCCATTAGGTTAGTCTTAAGTTCTTTTCATTTTTCCTTTTCCGTCTGCTGTTGCTCCCATAAATCGATACATGCCTGAACAATTTCAGTCATTTGTTTTCCTTTCCACCCTAGAACCAACTGCTGTAATTTTTCTTGTAACTTCGGCTGTAAATTCTTTACATAGATGGTAACTATCAACCCTCTCATGTTGTCTGCAGCAGGAGCAATGCCGGTATGTCTTTGAATTGCTGCACAAAGTCAATTTTGAAAATCAGCTGGATGCTCGTCAGGATTTTGTTTGCAAATTTCTACTTTTGTCCAGTCTACATGAGTCTGAGCTACTCTGGTAATGGCGTTTAGCAAAGTAGCTCTAGCATTTTGCACATTTTGCAGTCCTTGATTTTCTTCATAATTGTAATCATTTTGTGGCCAAGGGGTGCCATCCGGAATATTCCTAGTTTCTGCAATTAGGAGTCGTTTTTGTTCTGGATTTAACAGACTATTTAAGAGCCAGTTTACATCAGACACAGTGGGATTGTAAATACTAAAGACCTGCTGCAACTTATCTCTAAAATCAGAAGGGCTTTCTCTGAGTTTTGGAAAGGTATTACAAAAGGTAGTGATATCACTAGCAGTCCAAGGGACATGAACTACAGTCCGTTGGCCGCCTGGTATTTGAGGTGGATATTGTCACAATGGGCAGAGAACAGTTGACTTAAAATACTGCGGGTCTCCGAAGGTGGTCACAATTAATCTTCTTCCCTCTTGGGCATATAAGGTTATTACAGTCTGCCCATTTGAACCTCTTTGGATATTCTTCACCTCGTATAAGGGTCTTAATTCAGACTTTAAATTTTTCTTAACTTCTTGCATACTAGGTAGGTCATCATCATCGGAGTCTAAATTAATGGAAGCTGGGGGAGAAAGCAGGCTTGCTGGTGGCCTTGTAGGTGAACGGCTAGCTGCAGCAGCAGGAGGAGCGGGGTTGACTATTTGGGCAGGAGGAGGAGGAACAGGACTAGGTACCCAGGAATCTAGTAGGTCTTCTGTATCTTCCTGGGTGTGGGTAAAGTTGGGCGCCAGAATACTAGGGTAAAGGTTTTTATATGTTAGAAGGCAATTTGGAGCTGGTGGAACGCTAGGGTTTTTCTCTTTTATAGGAGGCTGAGCCAATTTTTCCTCCTTTAATGTAGCCAACTGCCTATTTAATTTATCATTAGAGTCTCTGAGACTAGTCTCAATAGATTTTTTGTTTTCTTTGCGAAGCTTCATTATCCCATAGGTACCAATATTTCATCTGCTTTGGCTTGGGTATCTCTAAGAATCCACTCAGGTAATTTAATTTATCGGGATCAAAGGTTCCTTTATCAGGAAACTGTAACCCAGGGTTTTCATAGGTATAACCATTCCAAGCACGTGCCAATTTAACTAAGCGCTTTTGCTTCTTTGGACCCAATTTAGTTCCATATTCCTTACACATATACCCCAAAGGTGTTTTGGGGTCTGGGCAAGAGGATCCTTGACCCACTGCCAGGATAATATAACAAAACTAGGAGAGATTTACCAGAGACACAAGAGGAAGGGGAACCGGGTTCGTCAGAGCGATGCCCGGTGCCAGAGACACGAAAGGAATGCACAAACTGGAACATAAGCCCTTGCTTTCAAGATTGGCTCGCAAGCGGCCAAATTGGGGCGGCTGCCCGTGAACCAGACACAAGGGAAGGACACAAGACAATCTCTCAAATATAAATCAGAGTTATCAGGACAGACTGTTAGAGGCCAGTAGGCAAAGGGATAAACAGAGAAAAGTCTAGGCGTCCCCAGACAAAATCAGAACAGTCTACCTGTCAGGGATCCCAAGTCAGTCGGTTTCAAATAAAGTATCTTTCAGTCAGTCAGATAAAATAAACTAAGTCTTATACTTATAAAAGTAACGTAGGGAGCGCTTACCGCCGAGAAGACGTTACTCGTCCAGGCTAGGGAACACTGAGACCCGTTAAGTGAGATTTTTTTAAATTAGGATCTCTTACCTCTGAGTTTTGGCACCACGGGTGTCGGTTGTGTCCCCAGACTGTTCAAGCTGCCAACTCGGTGTTCTGCCGCATCCCACTGCTGACACCAGAAAACTGTGGGGGGAAACTTCGTCCCCGGGTTCGTTGGGCGGAGGCTCAGACGAGCAGGCCAATCGAAGTTTAAAGACTTAGTTTAATAAAGAATGCATTCCTGGTCAGCGTCATACACAACTTCAGAACTTTGCCATGAGGTCTGACCCTGAACATTAGGCAGTGTAGGGTAATATAGAACATGTGACATCATAAGCATAGCAACAGTATAAACCAATCAACGTTAACCACGACGCAGACAAGTCTGCACATGTCTTCAACTTGTTACTGGAGAAAGAAAAAACAAAAACTAGTTTAAACCAGTCTGTAACAGCAAGGTCATGACCTAGCTACATGACTCGCTCACAAACAAAATGGCAGACTGGAACCATTTTGGTTTTCCCCTCCAATGGTGTTGCTGTGGACGTAGTCTTTCTAGACTTTAAGAAGGCCTTTGACACTGTCTCTCACCCCATCCTCATCAATAAATTAAGCGACTGTGGCATTGTTGCCTGCACAGTTGGATGGGTAAAAATTGGCTGATGGGGCGCATCCAGAGAGTAGTGGTGGACGAGTCGTACTCAACCTGGCGAGATGTGAGCAGTGGGGTTCCCCAGGGCTCGGTCCTCGGGCCCGCACCGTTTAACATCTTCATCAGCGACTTGGACGATGGGGTGGAAAGCACACTGTCCAAGTCTGCTGATGACACTAAGATGTGGGGTGAGGTGGACACACTTGAAGGGAGAGAGAGGCTGCAACTAGATTTAGACAGGCTACAAAAGGGGGCAGATGAGAATAGGATGGGGTTCAACATAGACAAATGCAGGGTGCTGCACCTTGGGAGAAGGCACCCACAGCATACATACAGGCTGGGGAGCTCCCCTCTTGAAAGCACAGAGGCAGAAAGGGATCTTGGAGTCATTATTGACTGCAAGTTCAACATGAGCCGCCAATGCCAGACCACAGCCAGCAAGGCCGGCCATACCTTGTCAGCATCCAAAGGTGCATCTCAAGCCGGTCCAGAGAGGTGATACTCCCCCTCTATGCGACTTTGGTCAGGCCGCAGTTGGAGTACTGCATCCAGTTCTGGGCGCCGCACTTCAAAAGGGACGTGGCCAGTCTGGAGATGGTCCAGAGGAGGGCTGCCCGCTTGGTGAGAGGGTAGCAGGACAGGCCCTATGAGGAGAGGCTGAGGGACCTGAACCTGTTCAGCCTCAGCAAGAGGAGGCTGAGGGGGGACCTGGTGGCTGCCTACAAGCGCATCAAGGGGGAGATTGTCAGCAAATAGGCAGAGCCCTTTTCTCCCCAGCACCACCTGGGGTGACGAGGAACAATGGTCATAAGCTGCTGGAGAATAGGTTGAGGTTAGAGATCAGGAGGCAATATTTTACAGTTAGGGTGGCCAGAATCTGGAACCAACTTCCCAGGGAAGTGGTCCTCGCCCCTACCTTGGGCAAATTGAAGAGGAGGTTGGACAATCACCTGTCTGGGGTCTTGTGAACCCAGCACTCATTCCTGCCTGTGGTAGGGGGTCAGGCTAGATGATCTGTGCAGGTCCTTCCTGACCCTAGCTACTGTGAAACTATGAGGAGGAGGAGGTGGGGTGTCCCCCAGCTTGGACCAGAACACCCCTTTACACGGTGCCTATAAACACCCCTTTTATGGCGCCTGTGGTGCATCCACACCTTGAATACCGTGCCTACTTGTGGCCCTCACACCTCCAAAAAAAAATCTAGATGAAGCAGAGAAGGTCCTGAGAAGGGCAGCACAGGTGTCTTGATTCATGGTATGGAGGAGCTTTCATAGGAAGAGAAAATAAAGAGGCCGGGCCTGTTCAGTGTAGAAAAGAGACGCCTGAGTGAAGGGCATGAGAAGGGTTTGCAAAATACTAAATGGCAAAGAGACAGTAAATAGGATTTATTATGTACTCTCTCTCCCAACACAGGAACCTGGGGTCGTAAAATGAAACTAGCAGGTAGTACGTTTGAAATGAATACAAGGACGTTTTTTCTTACCCCGCCTGTCAATCAAGTGCGGGATGGGTTGCTGCCAGATGTGGTGGCATCTGACAGTTTGGCTAGATTCAGAGTGGGGACAGACACGTTCTTGGTGGAAAGGGGCCTCTGTGGCTATTGAGCACAGAAGTGAGGGATGCAGCGTCTCCTACTTTGACAGTCCTCCACCTTAAATGCTGGAGGATGCAAGTGGGGGGGGAAACCTTGGTCATACCCAGTCCCCTCTCTGCCCACGAGCCACAGGAGACTGGGCAAGATAGGACCGATAGTCTGGCCCACTAAATGGCAGTTCCTTAATTTCTGTGCTTCGCTTCCCTGTCTGTAGAGTGAGGATGGTGGTCATCTCCCTACCGTTTGGGAGTGTCAGCAGGGTGAAGCTGCTGGGGTGGCATTTAGCTATTGGAGTGGTGGCTTCAGAGCTGTTAAGACCAGAAAGGACCGCCCGGCTCATCTGGTCTGGGGTCAGCCTTCATCTGGCCATAGACTCTCCTGAATTAACTTCTGCTACAAGCCTCAGAGTGGTGATTAGAGAAGCCGGATTGTAATGGTGTCATGCCTTGCACCTTCTTTCTAATCTGAATTTGTCCGGCTTCAGCTTCCAGCCTCTGGGTGTTGTGATGTCTTTGTCTGCTAGGCACAAGGTACTCGTGGGACGGTGGGTATTGGAGTAAGCAGTGAGGTAACAGCAGCTGCAAACCAAGCAACACCCAGCTAGAGATAGCAAGCCAGAAACTTACTGCTCCTTCTTTTCTGTATTGCAGCCTGAAGAATCAGTAGCAGTTCATCGATCACGCGGCGGGAAAATTTCTTCTGCAAAGAAGAACCGACTAACCAACAGAGAGGATGCTTTCTTGGACAATGAGCATTGCCTTGGTGGAGTCATTAATTAACGCACCTACTCTTCGCTTTGGACAAATGAATGGATTTCCTTTTTTTAAATTCTGTGGTGAGTTAAAATGTCTGGATGGATTTTTTTACCCGTTCGAGATAATATAATCCACATGCCGTCTAAAGTATGACAAATATCCTGTAAGAAACAGCATTTAAGCATCATTCATCCTCAAAGACAGTGGAAACAATATTTTACTTTTTTCCTATTTATTCTTAGGTTTCTTTCGAGAGTATAAAGCGGTTCTATTAAATTATCCATGATTGTGATGTAAGCAGTCTTCAGCCAGAAATAAACTTGATTTCCTCACCTTCTCCAGCATGATTTGTGTGAGCACATAACGAGCAAACAATGAATCGCGGGGAATGCATAATGGATGATTTTTTTTCCCCCTTTCCTCTTTGTCTTCAGAAAAACAAATGGTTCACTGAACAGTGAAAACTGAAATGAGAGACTAGAGTCCCTTGTCCTGCCATTCAAGTGCAATTCCTAGAGGCTAGATGGAAGCCAGGCACCTGGGAACAGTAACCTGAAAAGACATTAGTCTGTCCGCTGTGGAACAGATAGCCCTCTGGAAGGTAACAGAGGCCCGGAAAGAGCAGGCCCAATGCAGTTAAGGGAACCCACGTTTCCTGTACTAGTAGCACGAACTGTGAGTATCCCACCGAGCACGCCAGGTATTTCTACAGAGTCCCTGACAGTCCAGACAAGGCAGGAACAGAGTGCCAGTCGGCACAGGTTGGCACTGCTCCCAAGGCAGCCGTCTCGCGTGTCCTCGGGGTGCAGGGAGGGCAAGCTGTGCTTCACTGCAGCGGTCCCTAGTGTGTCCCAGGGCAGTTGAGCTGTCCCTGGGGTGGGATCCTCACCGTGTGCAGGCATGGCTGCTTGCTGGGCCCTGTGCTTGCCAGCCGGACAAAGCGGTCAGGTTTGGGAGGAGGTTTCCTGATAACAAAAATCCTGACTTCCCCAAGCCACAAGCCAAGCCCCTGGCTAGGGACAGACATTTCAAAAGCCGGAGCTGGAATTGATTCCATCTGTGCAGGTTAGTTTAACTTGGCTAGGCTGAACCGGTTTGTCGCCGGACAGACGTTCTCTCTGGGCTGAGGAAATGCAGGCACATGCCTGCAGTGGCTCAGGCTAGAAGTGGTGGGGGCACTAGAGCAGCCCTCCCTTCCCATGTACAACACTGAACAGAGATGGGGCATGGCCAGGCCAAGACAGGACCTCTGATTAGAGAGGTCTGCCTGGACCATCCCAGGCTTTTTCCTGCTGGCTGCTCAAGGGCTGGGAGGGTTGGCAGCCCCCGGCTAGCATTTTCTGAGGCAAAGGGGGGGGTGTGCAGTGCATGCATCTGTTGATGATATGGAGCTTTTCAATTTCCTTCCCTGCTTCTTTATTCTGTCTGCTGCAAACTGATAGGGGAGCAAGCCAGCAGGGGGTTGGTAACGGTGTTTATCACCCCATTAGCCAAGCAATAGCCTCTCTCCATTAGCTCAGACTCTTAAACAGCTTACCAGCTGACCTGTTGATTTAGCTCCAAAAGCCCTAAATGGTCACTGTTCTGTCTGCCTGTCCCAGTGAAACTGGGGACACGCACACATCTGCATTAGCAAGCATACCACATGCCTAAGGTCCATGGGGCTGGGGTCCGTGCTGTGGGAGATGGGAGGAAGGGAGGGGGGATTCCTGCTTGAGCAGTGAGGGTGGGGTAGGGCAGTGGGAAGCCAGGCAGACCCTGCTGTGCCTGCAATCTCTGTTGGACCTGCAGCCAGGGAGCAGAGGGGAGGGGCCAGCCCTGCTGTGGAGCAGAGAGCCCCGCCCCACCCCGAGAGCATGCTGGGATGCTGGGGGGAGTCTGGTTCATCTTAAACCAGCAAGGGGTCTGGGACAGACTTTGCATAAACCGGTTTGAGCCAAATCAGTTGAGTCTGATACTACATTCAGCCAGGTTGATCTCAAACCGGTTTCAGCCGTTTTCAAACTGGTTCATGTGTGCTGAACATCTGTTCTGCTACAGGTTTAAACTGGTCTCTGATCACTTAAACGGCTTTATGTGTAACGTCTGTCCCCAGCCTCACAGGCACAGGCTTCCTTTAGAGCAGCCCTCCATAGGGAAGGTGTCGGCTTCTCCCTGGCTCAGGGGTCAGGGATGCCTCAGGAGCAAGAGGAGCTGGCGGCGCATGCTTTGGCAGCGTGTGTCGGGTTTCCGTTGCAGAGCGGGCCGAAGGAGCCGGAGTTAATTGGACGTCTCCTTTCTGGGAAGGGGAATGAAGGTTACCGTCGGCCAGGAGGGGGCTGGAAAGAACTCAGAAGAGAGGAAGGGAAGGTACAAGTAAGACGTGGTCTCAGGATGCGCTTTGCACACAGCAAACGTCCCAGCGGTATGATGCGGGATGTAGACAAAGCCCTGTCTTTGTAAAGACAGGCTTGTTGCCAGTGGCTGTAGACATGAGCAGGAGCCCGAATCTCCCCGGGGCCTGTCTGCACCCACCTGAAACAGACTCTGGTGCTTCCTTCCCGTGCTCACCCCGGGAAGGGCCCTCGCACCTTGGGAAGAGAACACCGATGTGGACAGATTCACCCTTCCTTTGAGCGGGGCGAGTTACAGGAAGGTGCGAGAGCATCTCTGCCATATCCTACGTGTGGGCGGTGCCCCGCAGGACCTGGAACCAAAACCTGCCCTCGCTCAGATGCATCTCGTCAGCCGCTGCAGGCTGGTACTTGGGTCTGCCAGGAGAACAAGCCAGGTACAGGTCTCACCCTATCGGCACCTTCATAAATCACAGCCGACCGAGCGCTCTCAGCACGTAGGCGGTGAGCGCCACCAGACTTGTCTCAAACGCTTGCCCTTTTCAACCTGAGCAAATCGCCAGGAAAGCTGCATTTCCTGTGTTACTGGGAGACTCAAAGCGCGGCTCACTGGTTATACCGGGCTAGCACGCGCTCTGCTGCAGCACCTCGCCATGGGCGCTGTCGGTACGACTCTGACACTCCCTCCAGCCCACCGTGCTTTCTAGCACGGCGGGGATTTGGGTGGATGTGGCGAAGCCAGAGGCATTATAAGCCACGCGCTGAACCGGCTTCTCAGCAAGTGCATAACTCTCAGCCTCTGCTGTCAGACATCAAGCCGTGAAGCAGCAGGGAGGAGGCACTAATTTGGCTAGAGGGTCCTGGCTGGGCTGCAGCTCTCTTAGCAGGTGAAGTGGTTGCTTGTCTCTCCTCCACTATCTCCTCTAGAAAAGTGGCTCCGTGGAGAGGCAGCACTTTGGCTTTATCCCTTGCTGGTAATTTTTTACTTGCTGCTCAGTGCCTGCAGCTGCCTTGCTGAGGCCTGTCAGTACCTCGCCCTGTGACTACCCGCTTTGCCCTTCTGATGCAAACAGCCTGGTTTGTACCAGGGAAGAAGACTTATTTATCAGGCAAAAACAATTAAAAGCTTAAACTCCTATTGGTTCCACGTTACAGGAGAGAGGTGGTTTTTTTCTGGAGCAGCAGGAGCAAGGAGAGAGAGTCGTCTCCTAAATCAGGATTAAGATCAATAACAGATGCCGCTCTTTGGAAGCCCACTGAGCTGCTCCTGCCAGCTACGAAGACTAAAGAGACCCCTTCCAGGTGAAGACCTCGGGCTGCTCTCTAAATTGTGCTAGTCTGAGGCATAATTCAAAGGAGATCTGGTGGGGAAAAAGGCTTTACTTAATGGAAGGAGTTCCATGCATTTTGCTGAGATTTACCACTGCTTTTATGTAGCACTTAGATTTACTAAGGTTCCTTCAATTAGCTGTTCAGATAACGAACCGGCTTGCCAAACGGGATCGAGGCGTCCCTGTGGGCCGCATTTGTGTCGGTGCAAATAAAAATAGCAACTGCCAGCTCAGGGGGAAAATAGCCCCAAATGGCAGAGATTTTAGCTGAGGTTTCTAAAGCTAGCTAGGGGACTTAGGCACAAGATTCACATTAGAATTAATGAGTTGTGTATCTCGATGCCTCTGTCTGGCCCCAAAGCCTCCCTTTCTGCATGCTGTTTGTACTTAGTTTGGTTAAAAAAGCTTAATGAAGCAGCGAATGAGGGAACGACATGCCCGTCCTCATTTGGGTCTAATTAGCACCGGGGCTTTGAGTTCTCTGTGCCCCTGGAGGGAGGTCACTGGAAGAGGGGAACGGCCGAGCCCCTGATGGGTTTGATGAAATCACTTCTGCTGGCAGCAGGGGAGGACGGGACTCGTATCCTCAGAGCCTGCCCGCAGCTCTCGCCCGGCGCTCAGCTCTTTCTGCATGACACGCGCGCAAGGGGCTGCTCCTTGAGGACAGGCGAAATAAGGTTGGAGTGCTTCGTGACTGCGGTCTTCCTGGAAAGCTTTTTCCTACATTACTTTGGCTACGCTAGACGGGGGAATTTCCCAGGGGCGGCAAATCTGACATAGCAGCTAACTGTCTCAAGGGTCTGCCGGTCAGAGCAGTTGCCAGGAAGGTAGCAATAAAGTGCTCCATCGGGAGGCGAAAGCTCAGCATCATAGCTCTCCAACAGGCCCGTCCCCTTATCCTAGAGGGCGGGAGAGGCAGCAGACAGCACTTGTCATGAAGCCGCCTGTCTTGCCAAGCCCTCGGACCTCTTTGCTAATGGATGCTGACGGCACATTTAAATAGCGCTTGCCACCGCGCTGTGGTGATGCGAGGCATATGTGCTCCCTCGTGTGTTGTCACATGTAACACAAGGCTGCAGTCTCCATTAAGTAGATTGCCGAGATCCCGCCCCGTCCCTCTGCGTGGGATGCTGCGTGAACAGCCAGGCAGACTTCTTGCTGCACAGGCACGGAGGCCAGAAAGGCAAAGCCCCAGGTCACCTGTCCCACATTTGGTGTCTGTGCTGCAGCCCGGAAGCAAGCACTCGCCCGCCTGCCCACGTGGCCCGTGTTCAGAGCCCGCCTGGGACTGGAGCCGGCCTCCCAGCCAGCGACAGGCCCCGATTTCCAGTTGCTCAACCAAGCCCCCCTAAAAGCTAGCAGGGAACCAGCGTTTGCAGCACTGGGCTGTCCCCATTCTCCTCAGCCCCTCTGCACGCACGCTGCCAGCGGCTCCTACGGTGGCTGCTCCTGCTGGTGTCCCCTCCATTTCTGGGGTGTCCTTCATAGCATGCATGGCCTGTTGGGGATGGTATGGCCAAGCGCAATGCCCAAACTCAGAAGGGCAGGGGTGTCTCTCCTGGAGGTGCAGGAGAAGGAAGGGCGGGACCAAGGTTTTGCCCTCGTTGCATAAAATTGAAGCCAAACCATGGGGGAAGACCCTGAAAGAAGAGAGCGCCGGGGTGTAAGTC